CACACACACACACACCGACACACACACATACATACACACACTGACACATACACACACACACACACACCGACACACACACACACACACACACACATTCACAGACACTCGAATGACCATCAGTCAAGTGCTACCCAGTCAAAGACAACCAATCCTTGCAGTAAGTGATTTTTTTAAGCAAATAAGGGCAAAATTAAATAATGTATTACAGGTGAAGCTGGCAGCAGTCTGTGCTTTTATATGATCATCACCTCCTGGGAAATTAAGGTATTTTAATTACAATGGAACGGTTTGATAAACCCTCAAACATTCCCCGTTTAGATCAGTAATATCAAACCATTACAGAAACTAATTACTGTTTGTTTGTCAAACTGCCAAAGCATAAACAAAGAGACAAAGAGACTCAGTCTGAGGAAGGACAGCGACATTGTCAGACACATCCCAGAAAGCAGGTTGGGGTTTTTGCTGTCAAACATATGAAAGACAGCTTCATATTCCTCGAAAGATGGACAGGAGAGTGAAAATGAAGAGGGAAGAGCAAACCAGCAAGACAAGCTCATTTATCCCTTAATGTGGCTGCGGAAACCTCAGTGTAACGCAGCTGAGGCTGAACCCCGCAATCCGAAGTGTGGACCTCCCAGACAGAGCGTCCTGTCGCACTGGGGCGATCCAGGCCAGCTTGCCAGGAAGATCCTTTACTGCCCCTGTATCTCTGACGTTCCCGCATGCCACAGCTGTCTAACCAGGTACGGTCTCTCTCTCCCTTTCGCAAGGACCATCTCTGCCCGCATCCACCTCCAGCTCCCCAAACCTCAGAGAGATTACTCCAGCTGACATCTGGTCACCGAGGACCCAGCTCCCCTGGAAGAGTTAGGCCCCGCCTCCCAGGTAAGGTTTCCTCAGGAGGCTGAACGAGCTGCTAGTAACGAGGGCGGGGGTGCAGCTTGTTCATATGCGTGGCTGCGGGGAACAGATCTGCATATGACATATCTCATATTCGCATGCCGAGGCCACCCACATATTTGCGAAGGCCCCATATTTTGCATATATATAACTTTGAGGGCTTTTGCTGTGACTCTATGGGATCCCTTTAACCTTCACATTCAAACTCCCAGGTAACATGTCGCTCATATTTTCCTGACGGGTGGGATACCCACAATGCATTTCGCCATATTAACAAAATATGGAAATTTTGGAATCCTTTGGCGTACACATAGCTTTGAGTGAGTCATTGATTCTAAACATACAGTCCTGGAGTCACGGCCTACCTGACCTGGCTGTGAGGTAACTGCTTGGTGCAAACTTGGTTTAGTTTAGGATTCTGAGGGACAGATCAGGTCTGGCCATGGAGCAGCTGGGTGCTCTTGCATCTGTGCGTGACAGTAAGGGGGCTTGGAGAGTGTGGCTGGATCAGGAGTGTCCTGTCTGGTCTGACTCAGAGCTGTGAAAGGCAGTACGGCTTAAAACCAGCTTCTCTCAAGCTAGCCAAGGTCCTGGGCTAAGCCTGAGGGCAGGCAGACCCGCTGCTCTCGGGGCGTCTCCAGGCACACAAGCAGACTTTGTGGGGGGCTGCTTGGCCTCAGTCACACACGCTGATGATCACAGCTTACATCACGTCACAGAGCATCTAACTGCAGGATCCTGGCTCCCCCCCCACCCCCCCCACTGGCGCATTCCTCCATAAATCTTGCAGGATTTTCCAGAACGAAACAGCATGCTGCCTCCTATTTAATTCAACAGGCCCCTGGGTGTGGAGTTTAGGCTCTAATTATTGCAGTAATGACCCCAGACGCGCCCACACATTAAAGATAATGCATTGAAATATATGAAAATCCAAATTAGCTCCACAGAAGTAGAACCAAGCAATCTAGGCAGGAGTCACTAATGAAATCTAACGCCACAAAAAGACAAACAAACAGAAAATATGGGCTTGTATTTTCCCTGGAAAGGCTGATTCCTCCTCAATCCATGACAAGAGATATTCGACAACCACAATTAACTACGTCACTGCTGGGCATGTGGAATCGGATTACCCTGGTTATACTGGAGATATATGAGTTTTTCCGGAGACAAGAAGCAAGTTAATGACTCAAATCTGCGAACTGGGAAAAAAAAAACACACACAGACACGTCACTGCACCTTCGACAGAGAGCAGGTTGCCCCCGGCTTCATGCGGACACTGCGGGACCCTTTACAGTCCTGAGACGCCCCAGTGTCTGTGCGCAGGAGCGTGAGGCAGGGAAGGAGACGAGGCATGATTACTGAATCCCCCCCGGGACACATGGGGGTCCCCGTCACTATCCCTTCACTTGAACAGAACAAGAAGATCTTTACACTTTCCAGGGTTTTCTTTATATTTTCCGAGTCAAAGCGCCTTCCGTGACTTTTTGGCAGACCAAGGGCCTTTCTCTCCTTCCACACTGAGCCCGACCTCCTCTCTCCTCCTTTATGAGTTCTGACTCCTCATTTTCTTATCATCTGCTGTGAGTTATATCCCACTCTTACGCTTTTATGCCGCGGCGGAAGAGAGAATGAACCTCGGAAGTAAGATGAGAATAAAAACAGACTAATAATAACAGGCAATCGCATTTAAAAATGTCCTTGGGTGGACGGGCGAACGGGGCGGCCGCTGAGAGGTCCCGGGCGGGGAGAGCGACCACTTACTGGATGGAGTTCTCGATGCGCGTGATGGTGAGGAAGGCAGCCAGGTTGGCGGTGTAGGAGGAGATGACGATGAGGGCAAAGAGCCACCAGATGCCCATCATCATGCGCGTGGCCAGTGTGGTGTAGGGGACCTCACCACCTAGGGGATCAGAGGAGAACACGGCTTTACTCTCCACACTTTGCTGTGGCAAACATCTCGTTATGATCCACTCTGTGCAGACCGAGCTTTAACCAGCTTTAAGCAAAGTCACTCATTAATGTGTACAAACTGTTACTACTATAGAAAAGCTTGTTTACTAAGGCTTGAACAGCAGGTTTACTCACCATATGTTCATGGTGTACATGCATCTCCACACACACACACACACACACACAAACACACACACAAACACACACAAATACAGATCATATATTCCTATCATTGTGTGGACTCTGACTAAACCAGAAGTCACCAAAGAAAATACAAGACTTTTGGCATTTTTAGTTTTTTAATTGCAATCACAGATTTTTTATTAAATTGAGGTTATACAAATGGGGACCTGAAAAATGTCCCCAAAAGTAAGGAAGTTTTAGGATTTACCCCAATTGTGACCTGTGCAAACCCACCCACCCACGCACACTCACACAAACACAAACTCACACACAAACACACTCACACACACCATGTAAATCTCAGCTTGTTTAAGGCGGGATGTTAAGGTACTGAACGATGACACCATCGCTTTTCCAAACAAACCGATTATCGCTTATAAACCAAAATGCACCTAAATGCCCCAAATGTCCTGAGCAGGTCATCTGTGGTTGTTAAGTCTAACTAGGGATGGTATGAGGCTCAGGCTCAGCGGGTCAGAATGCTGGGCCTATGCTTCGGAAAGCTACTGGTTCAGTTCTCAGGGCTGGCAAAATGATATCAGAATTAGGTCCCTCAAGCAAGATCCTTAGCTTTCAGTTGCTGCAGGGACTGTTTGACCTCAAAAAAGTACACTGCTTTGAATAAACGCACCTACGAATCAATGTCATATATAAATAATTCTGCAAATAACTCTCAACATAAAATCTTTCCATAGATTTGCTCACATTTCTTTTTATCTGCTTCCATATTTTTATCTACCTACATAAAAACTTGATGTCTGTCCACAAGGCCGCTCTTAATTTGATTCAAATCACCTTATGATGCCATTTATAAACCTCTGCGAAGCACTGCAGGATCGCTGTGACGGGAAGGGAACTATATAAATATTCATCCCACTGAACATAAACCTTGCAAGGACTTGAGAAGTTTATGCATCTTCTGTGTTTTTAAAGCAGTGGAATTTCGATCCTGTTTTAATACAGGATGCTGTCACCCATCCATGGGAGAGCAAAACACTCTTGTTTGCTCTGCTCCCCCAAGCGAAATTACCCCGCATCTCCATTCCAATGGCGAGCGAGAAGAAGACACTGCCCATGATGATACGGAACAGCAGCCCAGTGATGGATGAGCCGCGTTAGGGGCCTCCCCATCCGCTCTGAGCACTGGCGAAAATGGCTCCATTCATTCTCGTTTCTTGAGCATCATTGTGTTCTTACGTGTAATAAATGCCAGAGATTTCAATCCCTTCGGCAGTGAGACTCAATAAAGTGCCCGAGAGCTCCATCTCTGACACCTGCCCCCTGGGTTTATTCATCCCGCGGCGCGTTGTCACCTTAAGGCGGTTCACATGTCCTATGGGCTGAGCAGGCTGGGTCCAGGATGCGACCGGCCATCCCAGCACGGTCACCCGACGCCTGCTCGGCAACGATGGTGCTGTGGCAGCAACGGGCATCCGTGACAGATTCACACGTGTCTGGAGGACAGTGATGCCTCGCTAATAGCTGTTTGTGGAACCCTCTGATCTCAGTGACCCCCCCCCCCCCCCGCCTTGCCCCCGCCCCCAAAATGCGAGCTATGCGCTCTCCCCAATTTCCGTCGCTATTACGCGCAGAAGAAAAGCGGAAGGACTGCAAGGAGGGATTGTTTTCCATTAGGAAATTGCAGACGTGAAAATAAAAGGAGCCCTCTCATAAACTCAGAGCTTACCCCACCGGAGAGAATCGTCCTCAGGAGAAAGACATCTCCATCTCACACACCTCCAACAAACATTCAAAAGCTACCTGAAGCACACAAAAAAGCACTGATTTCATAGTTATTCCCAACACACTTACAAACACTATTTCGAGATTCTGTCATTAGCCTGGATAAAGCCCAGCTGAGCAGCAAACTATCAGCCTGTAAAGACATTAAGTGAGGCCGGCGAAAACAAGGCAATTTTGGAATAAGAGAGGTGGTCGCCTCTAAGGGGGTACCCGATGGGGTCGCGAGAGTAACAAGATGGAGCAGAAACAACAGACTTTATATCGCATTTTCTCTCAATCTCCGCCTGATGAGAAGCAAGGCCTGTTTATAGATACCCACCACACGCCAGAAAGCCACATCGATTGGGATTAGCTCACACGTCTTAATAAACACATACACATCACACTCACACACAAATACTCGCTGCAGATGTACAAATGCTGCACATGATCCAAGCGGCTCAAGGCCAGCGCTACGATCTAGGAGTTTCATCTCGCTTGATGAGTGACTACGTGGATTTGGCTATGCAACGTTGGGCCTACTAATGTTGGTTTATTTTTACTTTTAAATTACGTCTTAGTCAAATCATACAACACATAATATGGTTCAAAACAAAAAATAATGTATCAGGAAGGCAGCAGTAAACTAATTGTTACATCAACTTTAATCAGAAACAACATTCAGTAATTATAAATTAGATTATAATAATTTCTGCCTGTCTGTTCCTCAGGAATGCTGTGGCGGTACTGCTCAGGTCCTCTGATCTCCAGAAGGGCAGCAATCCCAGAGAAGCTTTGTAAAGTGTGCAGCTGTTTAAACGGGCTGCGTTGTAGAGACGCTCTCCGTGCGACTGCGTGACTGCAAAGCGTTTGACAAACACGTTACACTGCTAAGTAACAGATGGCTCTATTGTTAAGGCATGTTTACTCTGCTCTGCTGTTTACCCAAATGATCGTGCCTGACGATTCCCCATATAATCCAAAAATGAAATTTAGAAACTTTGAGGAGACAGTCAAACATTAACAAACCAGGAGACCCCTCTGCCTGCATGGGTCGATCCTTCCAAATCCCTGTGAAATTCTGAATACTTACAGGAAAGAAGCAGCAAATTCTGCTTCAAAGCTGCTGGTGCAGACCCCCTGAGTCTCAGGGTGGGGTCTGCACCTCCCCCTGGGCTGGTTTAGTCTATCTGGAATCACACTGGAATACCATTCATATGACCCTACTGTTAAAAAATGTGGCTGATTCACACATTATCTGCATACCTTGATCCAAGCAAACTGGGGAGGATGTCCCATGAGAATGAAGGATGGGGGGGGGGGCATCCATATTTTCAGCCTGCGAGAGAGCTGCGTATCTGGTATAACCGCCAGTGATGTGAATGGGACTGGCTCCATGTGATTGGCTCTCTCTTCCGCATGGGTGGGGCTCGCAAGGTGGGGGGAAAAGTGAGTCTCTTCAGTCTCCTAGGTTACTGATGGAATGGATCAAACAGAAGCCGGCAGCTGGGTGACTTAAGCAGCTTTTTAGTGATTCAGCCACATCACGCGGGCCGGCAGGGGGGCATTCAGGCAGCGAGCTGTGCGGTGGGGCCGTGCGCTCTGCGCAGAAACGCGTCAGGCCGTCCCGCTTGTGCTCTTCAGGAAGCTCCGCACGGAAGACAGGAAATGAGCGAATCTCCGTGATGTCGGCGGAGCCGCTCTCCTGTCTCGGCTGCGATGAAGCCATTTGGCGGCCCGTAAAAAGCAAATTAATTTTTTAGAGATAACCTGCATTTCAAAGATGGTATCAGGGCAAATCGATTTGAAAGGCATCCAGGGGCCTGCATCAGGTGCTATGAGCTTCACTTCACGCCCGGTGGGGCCGGGGGGAGGGGGGGGTCAGGCAGCAGGCCTCTCTGTCTCGGGGCACAATGTGTGCTTCCTGTCATAGCTAAGTGGTGCTCCCAGAGGTCATAGGGCGCTGACACACACACACAAACACACACACACATACACACACACACACACAAACAGACAGAGTCGATACCCATGAGCAGAATTGTGTGCAGACAGGACGTTGCTGGGGCGTTTAATGTAATCGGGGGGTTTCGTCGACGTGTCTTAAATAAGCACCGCTGCAGGCGGGCCTGAGGACGCAGCCAGTTGAGAGCCGGATGAAAACGAGATGCCTTTGAACTTCAAAGGGCTTCCGACGGGCCCGGCGATACGACGTCTCACACGTGCAGCGGAGTGCTTGTTTCATGCAGACCCAATTAAAAGGCCAAAGCCTGGGTGATAGAGTAAATAGCCGGCCTTCTTCAGACGTTTAGAGAGCTTCCCGCACGCCGTTCCGTAGGGAGATTACTCTTATTCAACACAAGGAGTTGGCCCAGCGGATCTGCTCCCCTTTCCCACATTCCCGTATAATTGCAGCAAGAACTTTTTAAACGGATTATTCAGCCTGCCGCCTCCACACTGCCGGAACGGTCAGCGGCTTCCGACTGAAGATTATTTGGAACAAATCTTCCTCATGGTCACGAGAGGTGACCCATTTGCATAAAATCTGCATATGGTATATCGCCCTCTGTCTGTACACAATTGTGTGACACCGCACTGACTGCAGAGAGGAAATTTAGAAGCATACTATCCTGGTTGTGCAGAACGATAGCCTGGGAATTATACAATGTGTATGAAAACAAGTGAAATTGTCCGTGACCTTCTCTCACCCTCATCTATGAAATTTTAATAGTTAATGAGGTCTCTACTGTTTGGACTTAATCCTTTCTCAGACAAATGAATGAATGTAAACATAAAGCACACTATTGGGTTATATGAAAGCAGACAGCATGCTTTGTGTGTGTGTGTGTGTGTGTGAGACTGAGGGATGTATGCATATGCGTGCATACAGGAAATCCCAGCCTTTCACTTCAGCCCTTCACTTCAGGGGATGGTCTTTTTCTGCGGCGACTGCAGGAGTGGAAGTCGCGTCTGAGTGCCGGCGATGTGGACGGACAGCCGCAAAAGGCCCCTCATCTCACACCCCGAGTCCCAGGCGAGGCTGCT